GAAGAACAAGTCCTTGCGTGGTATGCCTCAGACGCAACTGAGCTGTCATGTGGGTGCACGTCAGATTGGACCGGAGTTTGCACCCGATATCATTTGCCACATTGCCCTCCTTGAACTGCAATAACAAATAAACCTCCTTTTTCTCAGCCGTCCTGTCTGTTGCCCACTATCTCGTCTGTTGTGGCTCTAGGAGTCAGTTGGTCGGTGCCGGAGGGGACGAGGTGCAAGGTCCTTGTGGTCGTGTTAGTATCAAAGTGTGGTTCCATGCACTCAGTGTGGAGCGAACCGCGGTCCAACCACCGTCTTGTGTGCTCATGACTCCCACATACAGCCTGCCGATGTTTGCCTGTGAGGGAGATTGGGCCGGCTCCGTTGCTGAAACATGGCTCCCGTCCACATGCCTCCCGATCTTATTCCTTCGGTTTTATACTGCATATGAGGTGTGTGGATGCAGCTGTGGGTGGTGCAGCGCAAACCAACCATGGTCCCTCTGTAGCCACGGGCGTCCTTTGGCTGGCCAGTGACAGGCAAATCCGAAACCGGTTGCCGCCAACCTTTTATATATATATATATATATATATATATATATATATATATATATATATATATCACTTATATCGTAAGAATAGCAATATATTACAACCTTACGATAGTGAGGTTGCTTGCAAAGAGAATGTAAATGAAATGGAGGCAAGGAGGTGGTCTAGACTAATCAGAATGGAAAGAAACTTATGTTACGGATACAAGCGATATAATACAGAAACGCCACTGATTGTGTGACTGCGCCATGTCTGAAATGGTCCCCAACCATTAATGTTGACCATCCGGTGGACCTCATCCACCAAGACGACATGCTCCAGCCTGACCAATTCACTCAGTCAAATTCTTCATACCTATATGTCACGTCATCGACTGGCTGCATCACGGCTTCGCCCAACTTGTTGCAGCCTCGGTGTATAACGCACACCGAGGAAGCCAGTAAACAGGCATACTGAGGACGTGGCCTAGCCAAAGTAAGTGATTAGGATTCATTAAAAGGTCCAATAAGGCACCAGAAATCTGTTTGACAAATACCAACTGGCGGACCTCAGCATTGCTCACCCGATGTTCCGACGAGACTTGGGTAATACTTCGCTAGCACCTGTAGTCAACCACGGCCAAGCTTTTAATGTCTTGGATGCAAACTGGCCTTTCTGCAGCGTTATACACCGTACCTTTCACTGACAAGTGATATCCCGCCGTCTCCATAGATGGTTCAGTATCTAGAAAACACACGAGCTTTGCTGATACGCGAATTAACTTCCTCGGTCATGTGACCACCAGAGCTGACACAGCTACCAAGGTAACTGAACCGATCCACCACTTCCAGTGGATGTTCAGCGATAGCTAGAATCAGAGATGTGTCGGTCCATTCCTGCAACAGTGCCTTGCATTTTGAAGGTGCAAAGCACATGTTGAAGCGTGCAGCATTACGCGTCAGTCTATCCAGCAGTTTTTGCATAGCCACTGCGGCTGGCCCAAAAAGAGCTACGTCGTCCGCATATTCAACGTTTGTCAGTTGGTCACGTGGCAAAACTTCTATTCCAGTAGATCATGAATGTACGGAGTCATTCCTGATCATTTCCATAACAACTTTGATAAGAAGAGGATATATAAGGCAACCCTGGGTTAGCCCATCTGTCACGGGAGACTCAGGGGACTGCTCCCAGTAAACTCCTACACAGCATCGGCAGTCAGGACAGAGAGATTGCAAATTAGAAAGAATTTAGTCGGCACACTCTTCGTGGACAGGCAGTGCCACAAGCTGGCATGATCAACAAAGTCGAAGGCGGTTTTCAGGTCAAGCAAAACTATCATAGTCGGTCGTCTGTATGTGGGTCTTTGCTCCAAAAGATGGATAAGAGTAAATATGTGCTCGGGGCTACCATAACCAGGATGGAAGTCAGCCTGGTTTTCAGTGAATCCGTTCTCACTGGGACCAGTAGTTCGTCGGAGAATGATACCCGCAAGAAGTTTGGTACAATGGACAAAAGCCAATTCTTTGATGAGTTTCGCCCAAAGTGCAATGATCGTTCATGAAGATGGGTATGACAGTGGACAGTCACCAGTCGGAAGACACTTCTTCAGTGTCCCAACTCATGTTAGGTACAGGAGCCTCTCCAAGTAACAAAATCTCACTTACATCTTTCAGCAAACATGGAGGGAGGTCGTCGAGTTCAGGAGCAGTGTTTCCTTTCAACACGGAAAACTCATGGCTAATCTTTTATGAAGTGGGATGTGTGACATGTAGTTCCAACATCGACTCAGGTCATTCGGCAAACGGCAGTGTCGCAACAAGTCTAGTGAACCTCTCTTCAAAATGTCTCGCCCAACGAGTTAGTCGACGAAGTTGAGAATGGATCAACTGTCCACCTTTCTCAACTATTGTTTCGCTAACTTGTTGGAACCTGTTTCCGTGGTTCCATCAAGCTGATCGATGCTTCAGAAATCCATTCACGGTAATAACGTCCCAAACTGGGTGCACAACAGGCATCAAAGACATTCATCATGGCACACTTGAGACGATCCTAGTCAGAGTTCGGCTTACCAACTTCATTCATCACTGACAATTGGTGAGCCAGTTCGTCATGATATTGTTGAACAGCGGAATGCGAGTTCGTTAAAAGTAAGAAGGTTAGATGGACATTTTTATGAAGCGGAGATAGTGAGCGCCAGGCTTGCACGCACTAGAGCATGGTCGGAATCTTGACACTTAGTCCAAATTGAACGAAAAGATAATAAATAAGAGAAACCCCTTTGTCGATGCATTCAGGAAAAATCCCAAGTTGAGTAACTCAACCACGATCAAGCAAACTAGGTCGGTCAGAATGCGATTTACGGAATCAAAATTATGAGATCAAACAGGCAAACAATTCACCCAGCTGAGACGAAACGACACACAATTGTGGCAGAGTGCTTTGCAATGTGCGGTGCGTTATGGGCTGGAAA